GGGAAATTAGGTTTTACAACGTACATCAATATTTAAAACAAGTCCCTGCATATTTTACTTGGTTTCAAAAATATATATCCAGTAAAGCGAACTCAATATTAAAAATTTCTAATAGGATTACCTAAAACCATGATGAATGGTTTCACCATCGTTAACCCACTAACTTTCCAATAAGAAGAGATATTGTATGTCGACCCGTATAATCCCAGTGTAAAACATAGCGTGGTGTTTTCGGATTGGTTAAATTCTGCAAAGGAAGTAGTCGATTTGGGTCTCTCTAGTTCGGCGTCGCGACGTATCTCTGGACGCCCTGCGGTCTTCCACAAACGACCCGCCCTATCCGACGTTATTTATCGTCATTTTCAGTGGTACAGCAGCCATTAGCTGCAGCCGCACGGTCAACTGTCCCTAATAAAGCTATCATAGCTGAATTACTACAACCGGACGGGGTGCGCGTTCTTGCCGGGACGTGTCCGGCGACAAATTGCCGGACCCAGAGGCAAGACCAACCTCAAATAGTCGTCGAGGTGTAAGGTGGAAGGAGGCCCAAAGTCCATTACACGATGACGACGAAGGATCTGGTTCGAACCGCATCGAATGGGGGTGGAAGGAAGAGATCCGAGATATTTTCGAAATAGCCGGTTAAATGGCGCGAGGATATCGGATGATTGTGGGTGTCGTAAGAAGAAAAATAACCGTAAATATAAGTTAGAAAAAGAAATACTTTTAGATAAAATATTTTTTTTAAACTAATACATGTTATGTTATCAAATCACGTCAGATACTTTAAAATGTAGAAAGAACTTTGTACCGATACAAGTAAACTTGTTGCCGCGTCAGGACGCTGTCTAATGCTATCCGTCGAGATTTGATGTTGACCCTACAAAGTAAGCCTACAAAGCTTACAGTTTTGTAAGCCTACAAAAAAATGTTAAGATAATCCATCAAAAATTGTATTTTTATTAGAAATGAAACACTTTTATATCCTGATTTTGTTACACATAAATGACTTTCTTCTTACTCGTACTATTTTCTTATCTTCCCATCGAACTACCCATGTTTTTTCGTCATTTCGAGACGTTTTAATATATCAACGGGTACCATCTCCACTATTTCATTTTCAAATTGCTACATATATTGTTTTTGTAAAAATTAAACCTGAAAGATTCTACTTTGTACTATGATATGGAGATACACAAATTTTGCCAATATTGTTTGTATCCTGGGTGCTATTTCATCATGATATCGTTATAACGAATCAATTAGTCACTTTTTGTTACAAATGAAAAAAATAGAGCTCTGTTTTTTACGAAAAGTTTATTTGATGGTGTAAAATTGATTAAATTTATTTGAAAAAAATATATCGGTCAAATGACTCCCTCCTGAATTGATAAACATATGTGTTTGCTTTACAGATTTTTAAATTGTTGCTCGAAATTTCTAACTTCAAATTGTCGATTTCTTTTTCAATGTTTTTTTCAAGACTTGTAAGGTTTGTGATTTTTTGCTGTAAACGTGCGATTGCAAAAAGCCTCAAAGAAAGAAATTTGTCAGATTTGGTGATCTGGTGGGTCAATTCACATCTCCCAAATTGAAGATCACACGGAAAGTGGTTTTTTTGAATTTCCCTTATTGCCCGAGATGCGTGGTGCTCCATCTTGCTGGAACTAACAATGCTCGAAACCCAATTCCTCAACTTGTAATAAAAATTACGGTTACGGTGATAACGTCGTAATGTTATTTAACGCTATTTGGAACAATTATGACATATTAATATTATGACATTACTTTTGCCTCACCTTAGTATGTGGCACAAAACGTTGAATTTTCTTGTTTTCAGGAAATATCCTTGTAACTTGTTTTGCTTGCATTAGCACTTGCACTATATTTCTAGCATTATTCGTTGCATTATAGTTCGATTCTGCGCATAAGCTCCTTATAGATTCTTATATGTCATTTTCTTCCTTCTTATACTTATTTGTTTATAAATGCTGTTATAGATGACTACTCTGATTTGAGAAAATCCAAGCAGGTGTACCACAGGAAGCGTAATGGGGCCGACCTTTTACTTCCTATATACAACTATTTTACTTCCTACATTTGATCAAAATGTGGTAACATTTACGGATGAATTCTAGCCAGTGGAAACAACAACAGTGATACAACCAAAAAGTATTAAATTAAATAAAAACAAGTCAGTGTATATCGATTTTACTAATAAACTGATTGAGCACAAATCAATATATATTTACATATCAACAAGTATACAGTTAAATACCTTGGCATTTGATCTTTGTCAAAATACGCTGCAAATTGGTTTGTGATATTCTCCAAACAAAACAAAGTTTGTTGTTACAACTGCTGCTACAGCTCTTATGTTGTTATTTGACCCTGTGAAGAAGCACAAGATAGAGTCTTCACATTAACTTGTCCGAGATGTTTGATTTTTGTGCTTCAGTGTCATACCACTGAAAGCAGTACGAATTTTACGAAACATAACACCGAATTTCTACTACTCCATTCTACGTACATTAACTGTATAATTTAAATTACTAAAATAGTGCTTAATTTAAAATGATAGCTCTTAAAGGGTAACAACAGCAAAACAATAATTTCATTGATTGTATATGGATTTGCATTTCCTATAAAAGCTGTTTATACGGTTTGATTCTATAGATTTCTTAGAACATAAAGTAGTAGACGAAAATAAAAATGGTCTTCAATTGTAGCCGTTTTTTAGCAAATAACTTTTCACACATAAATATTTGAATATATATAATGGTCATAAGAACATTCTGAAAGGGTACATCTTTATGGTACCATCGCAATCTAGTGTTTTGAATCATCACCAAGGGAGAATGTCGGCAGAGCTGACCATACAATTTGTTGTATCTAAGACTATCCAGGAAGCCGAGATTTTACTTCGATCCCTTTTAGATATTCAGGCAAGGAAGTAGAGATCTGATCGCAATAATAGAAGCTGTTTGTTACTTATAAACTTATGCCGATGTTAAAGCAGAAAATTTATCACGAATATTTCTATTTGTATTGGATCAAATTCTCGGTTATAGTAACTGATAACTGAGAAAGGGATAAAGTTCGAGAGTGGAAGCAAACATTTTCAAAGGTGAAACCAACAGCGAGGGCTATGAGAGTAGTCACTGCACATGTACTATTTGGTTACAGATTTACCTTACCATAACGACGAGATTAATAACCTTTAATACCTTCTATTATGAGATCGTTGATTGCAAACCTTGTGTAGAAAGGATGAAAATGATTTTGAAAACAATTGGAGGCCAATCCTTCACAGACTTTCATAACTGTATGTGACTGTGGTAAAGGTTATGGTCGCATACGGAATAGTAGTTCAAAAGATCTCGCTTAGACTACGGAAGACACAATAAGCACGGATGTGATGCTGGCAATACCGTTGGAAACGCTACAAAGCATAGAAATGATCGCCTTTGGTTGATAGCCGTATCAACTAAAAGCGTTGTGTACCAATTAATTATTTCGTAATTACTTCTAAGCATATTTTATACAAACCAAAGAAAAAAAAATTAAACCAGATACCATTTAAAATATTGTACCGCCACATCTATGACATTATGGTTTTCCATCAAACAAAAAAATTTGTTAAATCCGGGTACTTTGAAGTTTAAAAACGAGCCACTCAACCCCTTTTTGGAAAGCGGCCGTGACACGTTAATTAGGAGATATACAAGCAATAAATAGCGCCGAGAGCGAAAAAGGGCCTTGATAAATGCACTGTAATCGAGTGCGCTGCAACATGTGTCACTTGTCAGAAAGCCACATTACGGTCTCCTCTCTCTCTCTCTCGCGTTTTTTTTTCTGTGTCATTCCTAGTTCATCTAGTTCAGGGCAATCGACCACCCAGGGGTATGTGTGTTTGTGCGTAATGGACTTGCATTTTCTTTGGTGGTATATCAGAAAATAATGGAGGACTCCGTTTTAAAACAACATTTTCCTGTGGAATTAATTAAATATTTTAATGAATTAAAAGAATGTTTTCGTAATTAAAAATGCAAAAATTTATTTTTGTAAAGTATATAGAACTACTCGCTCCATCTGCAAGCAAGAAGTTGAATTCGTAAAAATTTCCTTATACACCCTGAAGGAAATCTATAATTTACAATTATTAAATATAAATTTAAATTTTATGTTTTTTCATAATAAATTACTATTTATAATGACTATTTTACATATTATGTGTTGAAGATGAATTTATTTATACAACTTCTTAAATATTACCTATACAAATATTTTAGTTCACTTTGTGTAAAGTGTAAACAGACCACTTCATTCATTTATCTTTATTTATTTTATAAAATAGCCTGTTTAACATTCCAATTAAAAATGTGTTTTCACATAATTTAACAAAGATGTTAAAGATGTAAAAACGAAAGAGAAAACGGTTACAAATCGGCATCGATTACCCAATTTCCGTTTTCATCAAAGGGCGTCACCGACATTACTTATTTACAAAGACTGAAATTAAAATTAGGATTTCGAGAAGTGACATAAAGGGATCTGCGGGCAGTAAAACGGCCACTACGCGAGCTTTTAATGTGGATAAATAAATACGGGCTGTCTGTGAAGGGGGCGTTGACGCGTTTTATTGTCGGCATAAAACGGTGGTGCCATCTCCAGAAAATAAATACGCCACCGGCGACTTTGAATCCATCCTTCGCTCTTTTAAAAGAAACCATCTCACAAACCGCCGGCAAACGTTATTTTTTCATTTGGAAGTTAACGGGTATTTAAAAACTCCTCTGAAGTGAACTTCAAACTAAACTATAAAATTATCTCTTTTAAAATAACATGTTTTTCAATTCCACAGTAAATAAAACATTTTCGACATGATTTCTGATAGTTTATCATTTAGATATTTAAAAATGATATAAATTTAGAATGGTGGGATATTATGGAATTGGAAAAGCTTTACTGATGGTTTGGGAAACATCAAAGCTTCACAGTATTTATTTAATCTAGTTTATTGCTATCGTTAGTTGATTTTATAAGGTTCTCTATGGTAAATAAACTAGAGTTTTTATGTCGATGGTTTACCGGTGTGACCATTGTTTGTTCAATAATAGTTGATTCGGATTGTGCTGATCTTTTAACCAACGATAAAGCATGATCCTGAAACACAAATAATATAGATTTTATTAAAATATGTTATAACATGAAATTAAATGTAAGAAGAAAAGAATTAAAATCAAGTCATAAAGTCATGTTTGTAACAAGTGGTTAATCCCGAGAAGAAATTTTAACTTGATTCTCGGCAGCTTTTTTAAACATCAGCTTGGAATATTATCATTTCAAGCTTAATTGCCTCACAAGTTGTAATTGGACGGTTCTGGTTAAGATATAGATTCAAGATGTTCAAAAAAGATGTGCAAAAACAAACTTCGGTGACTTATGGAAATTTATAAAGATGGATAATAGAGTTGCATACTTAACTCTGCCATGACTGTATCAACCTAAAATAAGGCAGAGCCTTATCGCCTTATCGTACGGAGTTATAAACATGCATATAACCGACCAAAATCTGATTTTGTTAGCTTCCTCTTGAAATCTCTTTACTCCGCCCTGAATACTTTAACCCCAATTATTATTAATTAAGGTAAATAAACTTCATATATAATTTTTATATAATCGAGACCAAAAAAATGGATTGAGAAAATTAACAAAGATTTGCCATTCCCAACTGTCATACAACGGCATAGTTTATAACAGCATTGATTTTCTGTCATCATTTGAGGAAATCTGCTGCAGAATCGCATCAATGCTTGTCTAAGATTAAGATGCTCATCTTAATGCTCTTGGTAAATAAAAGTGCTTTGAGTGGTTTACAAAATTAAAACGTGGCGATTTTGATATGTGAAACGAAGAACATAACAACTCGTAAACCGTTTAAATGTAGCACGAGAAGTCGTCTCATAGATTCCACATGAACTGAATAAAAGACAACAGTAAAACAGAAAACCACTTACGAAAAGCTTCTCGCCAGGTACAAAAAAGTCATTTCTCCATTGAATTGTGACTGGCAATGAAACGTGTATATATTTTATACCATCGTCATCGACTGGACGGAGAAAATGGTTTGTGTTTAGTGGGACCAGCAGGGTGTGATCTGTTATGACCTGCTAAAACCTGGCAAAACCGTTAATAAACGCTACCGACAACAAACGATGGATTTGAATGAAGCTTTACGATGAAGAACGATCAGAGTATCAAATAAAGCCACACAAAGTGACTTTCGTTCATGATAAAGCAATCCATCACACACCACAAAACTCGTCAAGGAAACGATTGAGGCATTTAGTTGGGATATACTTTCGAATGGACTTGCCAGACTTAGCGATATTTGTCTCCAGGTTCATCTTTATATTATTGTGGTAAAAGTAAGAAATCGAAGACATCAATATTTAAAGATTATGTATATTATTTTATTTTTCAAATCGGTGCTACAGTTGTTTCGGTTTCTTTAATAAAACCGTCTTCAGGCACCAAATCCAAATGTCAATAAATTTTTAGAGGAGTAGCAAATCTATACCAGACTTAGTGAGCAGCGCTGCACTTTTTACGAATATATACTTACTCAATTCTGAGAGGCCAGTAGATCTACGTGTTGTTTTTACAGATTTATTTTGTTTCCTAAGTTTTTAATACTTATTACTTGATTACTTATAAGCAAAAAACATTATGTTAGTTAACCCAGAAATATTTTAAGTTTATTGTAATTTAATTGTGATTTTACTACAGTTATAGAAAGGTACTAGGTGCCTTTTTTGTACAATAACTTATATATTATAAAAAAGATTATTATGAGTAAAAATTGATACATACAGACCAAAATCTATTTATTTTACACATTACCGGTCGACCCACATGTACTCTATGTAATTCCTAAGAATTCTAACGGACAATAGTCTTCATAATATTTCATACCTTGCCTAGACACTCCAGGTATTTTATACATTACTTGGGCATTGTATAGAGTACCTGAATTATACAGATTGACGGTAACATACACGTTTAATACACGTCTCTATAGGGGAAAAAAATAATTACTATTCAGGTTAATTACTATTCCTAAGCAAATTTAACTACAAATCGCTTTGCTTCGGTGGAGTTTATTGCACGATCTGGAGACCACAGGGCTCTAATTTGAGTCCAGTACTATTTGTAATATTTATTACCGACTTCTTAAACAGATTTATGTCTGGTGTATTGCCTTATGCTGATGATCTTAAGATATTTCGCCCTACGACCTCGAAAGATGACGTGGCTTCGTTGCAGTCGAATCTTGATATCTTGGTGGAATTGTGCGATCGTAATCAGCTCAGGATTAAAATGACCAAGTGTAATGCTATCACTTTTACACATAGAACTACTGATATCCCCTCATCCTACTGTATAGGTGGAATCTCCCTGCTTAAGTTGACTTCTATTGGAGAGAATTCAAAAAAGGTTTTTAAAATACCTTTCCTTTCGCATGGATGGAGCTTATCCTGTTCATGGCACGGACTACTAATCGTTGTTGTAACATTACCATTTCTTTTCGCTTGACACTTGAAGGGATGATCTCGATGCTAGATTTCTTGTAAAGCTGGTGAGTGGTGAAACGGATTGTACCTGGTTAGTCTCTTGCATCAACTTCAGTGTGTCTTCTTTTTTTGAAGAAGATTTGAATAATAGTAAAACCAACGAGCAGGCTAGCGCTCTGCTACAGATAATGTGCAGGCTTGTAAACCTGAGAGACGATTACAATGTTTTCGCTTATTGTTCAATTGATTCTTGTGTTAATGTAAATTTGTATTTCTGTGTAGTATAATATTACCCTATAATTGGTACTTTGTTGGGCAATAAAGATTATTATTACTAGCAATAGATTGTCAAATTTTCATAGCAATCACCCTAAGTCCCAAATCATTAATACCATGAACAATTACATAAAAAGAGCTATCTCAGTTACAGACAATGCCTTCTTAAAAGAAATAAGAAAACAATTATATAACATTTTATTAGAAAATTTCTACCCTAAAAGATTAGTCAATGATGCTTGGTATAGAATTAAAAATTCTATTGATAATGATAATCAAGATAACAATACAACTTCTCACATATCGAGACCTACAGAACAATATAAAAAAGAATATTTTTTAAGAAGTAAAACAAAAGATAAAACAGAAGGCCAATCATTAATTACACAATATTTCGATAAACATAATCAGAAGAATGATAGTGAACAAGATAATAGAAATATAAATGACGAAACTAATAAAATAACAAATTTGAATAAGTTTTGTAAGATTAAATACATACCGTCATTAACGAATAAAATAACTTCAGTATTCAGAGATCATGATTTTAAAGAAATTAAATTTGCAAAATACAATGATAATAAAATAAACACATTGATTTCAAATATGAAGGATAAAATTAAGATGATAGACAAAGTCGATACCGTTTACAAATTAAATTGTATGAATTGTGATAAAGTTTATATTGGAGAATCAAAACAACACCTGAAAAAACGAATTCAACAACATCAATATGACTCAAAACAGATCAAAATAAATAATAAAACAGCATTGTGTCAACATTCTGTACTATTAAACCACAAATTTGACTTTGAAAACCCCAGGATTCTCAATACAAATAATAATACCTTAATAAGGAAAAATTTAGAATCAATTTATATAACAAAAAATATCAATCACGCAGTCAATTTCAAAACTGATGTTGGGAAAATTGGAGCGCATTACGCGAATATCTTAGATAGATTAAATATATAAAGCGAGATAGATAGAAGACGTTTGGGAGTGGTAGAAAGGAAGAACGAATTCCAGTTTTTGGGTAGTAAAATTAACCTTGAAACTTCGTACAATGGTATTTCAAAACAGTTGTACAATGTGACGCACATACATGTATGCAAAGTAATTTTAAAATATTGTTTTTTTAAATCATCATATCAAGATTAGAGGTAAACTTTTTTAACATTCGACACCGATTAATTTTTGTATTTTTTTTGTGTGGTTTGAGATTTTTATGGTCTTTTGTTGTGGTTTTTTTGTAGATAATATTACGAGTGACTATTTGTAGACTGAAGATGAGAGGTATTCCCGAAACGTCTCAGATTGATTAATTTATAACAATTACGGAGGAAAAGTGGTATTTTTTTTAAAAAACCGTTCATATAACAACACCTCTAGTTCAATTTATCGTTTATTATTACTATTATTATTTAGCTACAAAAAGGATTCAAGCAATCCCAAGTTGAAACTTTTCCATGTGCGTTCAAGTCTTTATGTTCCTTTCTCAAAAATATTTTGTGTATACTTGCCCATTAACGACTATAATTATGGTGTATTATATTGCGTAATTTCATTGCCAGTATTATAAAGAAGATATATCTTATCTTCCGCACATAATGCACTGCACATAATTAATCAAATTGATAGATAAGATATAAGCACAATCAAGGCCAATTATATCTGACTTATAAGAAAGGGATTTACCACTAAATATAGTTTCGATGAGAGAAGATCCATAAAAACCATAATGATATCTCTGATCATTTTAGTCTTAACAAAATACAAAAAAAATTGGATCAGACTAGACAATTCGTATAATCATGATGATATATTGCACGACCCCTCAGAATAGAAAATGTGAAGTCAAATCGTTTCGATTTATAGCATTACTCAATCTCACGATTGCCATATTTAGTTTCCCCGTCATCGACTTTAAAATACCTCATTTAATTCAGGGAAGTGGATCTTATTAAACAAAAAGCATCATCATAATAGGTATGCAATTTACTAGAAAAGAACCATGAAAATTGTATCATAAGGTCATGTGTATGTAAAAAAGAATTTGTGTAATAGTGCAGTTGATTGAGACTTAACGTTGATACTGTTGAATCCGAAAGCGAAACTTGAATTACAGTTAGAGGGTCAATTCGGAATTACATCTGAGGATTTTGATTCGTTGATGTGCGTTCATTATACATCGTTCAGAGTCGCGCTTAATACAGGTTAGGAAGCAAACCTTCAAAACTAAATGCTTCTTTAGTTTCGCGATAACAAGGTTAGTCCTAGCAAGAGGAGTATGAATTACGATAGTTAATCAGAGGGACACAATTTTTAGCGACATGAGGCTCATGCTGGACGAAATCGGAGCTTCTAGGCAGACTGGGACGACTAGCAAATTGCCGATCGTAAACAAAACGTTAATGAGATGTTTGTTTTCCTTCTGCGGGGTAGTTTGTTTCCACGAAAATGTTGCACAAACTCTCCAACCCGGTCATTACGTTCACCAACAAAATTTTCATATGTATGTTTTAATAGTAGTATTTTCAGCACTTAATATAAGTAATTTGAGTTGTAAATGTAGATTTAAATTAAAAATCTTACCACTACAAAACTTAATTATATGAAAAATCACATGGTTAAAATTAGACGAAATAGATATTTTATATACACAAGAATACAATGAGTTATAAATAGAATTGAATTGTTCATTCATTAAAGTAATGTTTTTGTTATTGAAGAGAAACTTTAAAGTAGATCAAGGTTTCGATTTTTTTATTAAACATGAATATATTCAACAATGTAATGTTTCTTTTCTATAGAAATTTATTTGATTAATTTGCTATTTGTCTTTCCGATCACATTGGCGAAAACTATTAAATATTTTATTATATTTAAAACTGATTGCAAAGCAATTTTGCTTATTAACACCTCTAATAACCGAGGAGCTTTTGATATTTAAAAGGAACTCTTAGCAACTTATTAATGTAAGAATGAAAAGATGATATTGCTTGGTGAATCAAAAATATTTGATAACATTAATTTTAAACCTCAATCTTAAAAGCACTTCTTTGATGTTAATAATTTCTACAATAATGTGGTGTACAAATACGCTAATAATAAAAGATCTGTTACTGAATTACTTAAAAGGAGAAATCACATTTGAATCTACATTGATTAATTATACAAATTTTGTCAATACATAACATTTACACACGTGTTGTCCAGATTTTTACATAATTCCCAGATTAAAAAATTAATTTTGTATATATATATGTCTTAACAAATGGTGATGAAAACATTGTACTAAACCAAATTACTTTTCTCTACTTTAATGAGTATTCGCAAAGATAATAGTGTTTACAAAAGAATCTATTAATATCTGATTGTTTAAAAAACACTTTTAAAAATGTTGAGTACTTATTAATACTTAACAACTTCTTACCTGATACATATTATTTCCTTCATTAATTTTCTGTCGTCTAGTTTTCCTTCTACGATAATTTCCTTTTTCAAACATATTCGCCGCTTTAGGATCCAACATCCAATAACTTCCCTTTCCCCCTGCATCCGATGAGCTCGGTGACACTTTCTCCCTTGCAATTTTTACAAAACAATCATTCAAACTCAAATTGTGTCTAATAGAATTCTGCCATCCCTGTTTATTTTCTCTATAGTACGGAAAATTATCCATGATAAATCTGTAAATTCCGCTCAACGTCAATCTTTGTTTTGGCGAAGAACCAATGGCCATTGCGATTAATGCAATGTACGAATACGGCGGTTTTTCAGGTCTCGGCGAATGAATCTTCAGGTGAAAAGGTAACCAAATCGGTGAAAAATACGGATGGAAAAGTCTCTGATGTATGCATGATTGGTGATGGTGGTAATCGGGAAATGTAAAGTATTGGTGCTGATCTGCGATGTTCTGTATCGGAAACATTTTCATCAACACACTTTTACGTTCGGTCGATTTCACGGTTTTGAAAAGCCGACGGTTTTCAATGAGACCGAACGGCCAAACGTTCTCCCCCACTCCATGGTGTGGCTTTTTTGGACGTCCTCCGCGACGTGGACCGCCCCGTGAAAACATCTTTTAGCGAGAATCCCCGCGTTCCTAAACCTTATGGGATAATATCGGTGACAATTTATAAACAAAGCGGTGGCGGGCGGTAAAATAGGTAGTAGAGTCGTTAAAACCACGAGTTAAACACAGGGTAGTTTGTTGATCTTGTTCTTCGTAAATGGGCGTTTTCTCTAGAAGATGTTTTCATTTGATCTCATTTACATCTCATGAATAGAAGTTTTTTTATGTTTAAACTTTGTTTTTTCAATGGTTTAGAGAGAATTTTTGTAGATATTCTATTTTCAAATTGTTTGTTTAGGTGCGGTTTAGAAAAAAAAGTCGTTTTAACAAGATTATGTTTCTTATACTAAATAAGGCTTTTGAAATTATATATCGATAAACATAAATTGCATTAACATTTACAATCGGTTTTTTTTCTATTTCAAATTTATGTTAACTTCAATTTTAACTACTTCATGGATCTTTTATTCAAAAAAGCTTAGTTTAAAAAAAGATTAGATTCATTATATTTCATCGCTTGAAGTCAAAACATAGGATCTCCTCGAATTTTATCAAAACTCAAATTGAGACGTATACACATTATCTTCGGTATTGCCCTTTTTGGACTTTTTGGTCCTGTTATATGCGGTCTACACTTAACCTGATAAAATAATAGCTGATAAAACCTGATACAATAAAGGAAATTAGAGTAAAAAGATAACTTTGGAGATTCTACAGCTGTTTTAAGAGTAGTTTAACCCTCATATATGCACTTCGGGGATTAATATCACGACAACTAGTCAATGAAAAAATTTACAGTAAACTTTTTTATAATCACTGATCACTTCTACTATATTAACGTGAGTTTGAAAATTTTTGGCTCCTTAGTTCTTTTTACACCCGATTTTTGAGATTGCTGATTGTTTTGTATTATATAAAATTTAATTATTGATAAATATTTTTTACCTTGATATAAATCTTAAACATACAAATATAATTTATTTTCAAGATTTTCTCAACAATACTAAGAACCATATTTGTTCTTGTCAAACTTATATCTCGCCAAATAAGGGTGAGAAACTTTGTTAATATTTTATGAAAACAGTAATGATGGCCTGATTACAATGCTCGCAGGTACACCCGTCGACTTCTTAGCATTTCGATGCAAAAGTGGGCTGTCGGGCACAATTAGAGGTATATTTGGGATTTACGTAAAAACAGAAATTCTTGGTACTGAAAATAAAAAGTTTGTAAATATACCTGTTCTTTAGGTCACACTCGACCTAACAAGATCGGGCAAATTTATGAATAAAAAACATTCTAAAAACAGACAGGTAAGGTGAAGGTAAAGATGGTTGTCATTATTGCAATATTGTAATAATAATTGTGCGAAAACAAAAAGTCTTGAAAACAAATTATATTTGTATACTTAAGATTTATATCAAGGTAACCTATATTTATCAATAAATTAATTTTATATGTATAATACAAAATAAATATTATATAATTCTTCGGCTTTGAAGCGGACATTCAGTCGTTACGGCATTTTGGTTTCTGGGATTCTCTGAGGCTACTATATTGACTATATATTATGTGGCTCTAACCATTTCAAACCTCCCTAATTAGAGAGTTCTTAAATAGGAGTGTCTTCAGGTTAGGTTCAACATTTAGTTGAAGATCGTCATTTTTATACCTCCAATGGCCAAAAGACAATGAGCTATTTATGAAACATGATTCAAATGTGATGTATATAACACGTCTGGGTTCTTGTTGCAGAAAACTCTTATCTTCCGGCAAGTCAAATAACTTAAGTTGAAATCTGTGATCGATGTCGATGCTTCAAATATTTCAAGGTAACTGTCTTTCCGCTAAGCCGTAATATCAACACAGATAAGCTTATGATCGAGTCAACCAACAAAACTATAGCGCGAATTGATTATTTTGAAATTATTTAGTGATAGTTCTGAAGATGTAGAACATATAGAAAAAAGTGAAAATATTGATGAGGATGATGATAATTTTTTGTCTAGTAATCAAAACAATATTAACTATGAATTTGAGGAAGAGTTAGATCATAATATCTACTGATCTATGCTGGTGGCTAATGTTTGACATTTGCAAAATGGGACGCTTTACGCTTGAATAGAAATGGAAAGTATTGAAAACTTATTTCCAAAGTGGTGAGTCTTCAACCCAACCTGTAAGAAATTTACATGGAAAATTTGGAACAAATGAAAGGCCTTCAACACAGTTTGTGGATTAATTCGTGAAACGTGAAACGTTTGTGAAACTGGATTCTTATTGGACAAAGCAACCCGTTCACGTTTTCGTGTAGTGCTGAAAAAAAATTGCTGTTGTTAGCCAGAGTATGCGTGAAAATCCATCAACTTGTCATCGTTCTCTGGAACTGAATATTTCTCGCACTTCTTTCAAGAAAATTTTGCTTAAAGACCGCAATATGAATGCTTATAAAGTTCAATTAGTCCAAGAACTACAGCCTCATGACCATCCGATGCGTTTTCGGTTCGTTCAATGGGTTGGAGATCTTTTGGTTGAAGATGAGCCGAGATTTTTACCGAAAAGTAAAACGTCATTATTGAGAAGCCAATGCAGCCAAAACGAGTAATAAAAACGCATAATTGGTAGGTACATTTTTCTTCGAAAGTGAGCAGCCGTTACGATCAATGGCGAGTGTTACCGTGCCATGCTCAACAAATATGTTTCCAAAAATTGAGGAGGGTGACATGGACAACGTTTGGTTTCAATCAGGACAGTCGAAATTTTGATGCCAATTAGCCGCCTGGGAACTGTGATTTTAGCCCGTTGGACTATTTTTTGTGCAGAGCTGTTAAGAATAAATGTTACGCTATCCATTCAGAAATCGGAGTTGTCACTCATGAAATTCAATCAAAAACAATCGAAAAAGTAGAAGAAAATAGCGTTGATCGAACGACGTAGGGCCAGCCGTGGCAGTCATTTGAATAATGTTGTGTTTCATTCTTAAATGCAAAGATTTCATCTTTCTAATATTTCTAATAACTTTTGGAAAAATATTCATTACTTTTTCTGTACCTGATTCAAATTCCAAACGTTAAATTTAGGCCCACCTTTATATCTTTATGAAGACCAATATATCAAGCATATAGAGGCTGTTGTAAAAATAACGGTTATATACCCAACAGCTCGACGAATATGAGATATAAGACTTTATATAAGACAAATATGGAAATTTAGATATTTTGTGATGCGATAACATCTTACTGCTTTTTTAGATGTTTGCTTTGGAAGAAAATATTGGCATGGAAGTCAACACAATATAAAGACAGAATTTACTGATTTAAGCAAAGACTAAACGACTTACCAATTTATTTGATTTATTACCTTATTATGTATATTTTTCTCGAGATAGTGAGGTTTATTATCATTTTTAACTCTCTACGAACATGTTCTTCCATGATGGGACCAAAATCAGATAGCAACTGAAACAACTCTTCAAATGAAAATTTTGATGCAGTTAACGCAGTTTTCCAAAAACTTGTTCTCCATTGCTTAAAACAATTTACGCTAAAATGTCGGCTGGTGTCATTACAAAGAAACTTGTAATTATGCAATGGTTTAATGATCCTTGTCTTAATTCTTTTGATATCTCCTAAAATGTTTGGTCACAATGCAGAATCTGTACTTCAAAGTTCGTAGCACGTTTTTGGTAGGTACTACGTTGGTGTTAAGTTTTTCAATGCGGCAGATCCAATTAATTTAGAAACATTGTCTATTATTTTGCCATCAGTACCCTCTCACAACTCCGACAACTCTTTTATAATAACAGTTAATAAGTAAGATCTATGTATGTACAAACAAATAAAGTTACAGGTTGAAGCAGTGCTTTTATGTTGTATATAAAGCTAACGCTATTCTGTTGATGCTACTCTTATTCAAACAATTGGAAGCAGCTCCCATTACAAATTCTGCCTTAATTTTTCAATTAAAACGTTTAGCACTATATTTTTTATGTTTTTCTATACTTTTTTATTATATTTATTTATTTATTTCACCTTATATCTTTATGCCTGATAAGCTTATAAACCATCAACTTTATAGAAAAAAATTTTAGTTCAAACTTTCATCATATCAAGAGGAAAATATTCTCTATGGTTTTCATTGTATTGTAAAGCACCATCTAGGTCTTTCAATAGTTAAGTAACTTTTTTTAAATGGATACTAAAGAGTTGTAGTAATTAAATAATTTAAACTCTTTTAAAAATAAAATGCAAAAACGGACGTGTTGTCTGGTTGATTGCTTATAATCGAATGAATTTACATCGAAATTAACAAAAATGGTAATATAGGTAATTTATGAAAATAAGTTAATTTGATAAAAGTTATGATTTCTATGTGAAGGTAGGCTGTGTACGCTACAGTTACTCGCCCTTTCACAAGAAAACCAAACGTAAAAAGCAATATTAAAAGTACGAAAATAAAAGATAAGTTAGCAAGAAAAATAAAAGTGAACTTTGAATTGTTTTTTGGTAGACAATACGTCATTACTATGGCACAGCTATGGCAGTTATTTGACTTGTCATTAAGTAAAAATGCGGGTTTTAAACGATTTATATTTATAGGTAAGTCCTTATTATTTTTTGAAATTATGAATGTGGTTCGAAGTCTTTTAAGAATTTTAAAAGGGCCTTCGTAACCTTCATATATTTTTTTCATATCTGTCAAAATTTCTCTTAGCTACAAATTCATTAGTTAGTTTTCAGTAATTAAGCTTGGAAATCCCATACGATTAATGAAAAAAATTGAAATGTTTTTTGTTTACGAAGAAGCAGCAATGTTGTTATACTTACTTAACTATACTTAAATATGATATTCTTCATGACAAAATAAACAACGTTTATATCAGGCATTTTTTATTTAGAGTTTATTTATGGATAAAAATGTCAAATAATTACTTCAAACAAACGCAACAAAACAAATAAGCTTCACTTAACAATAAAATTCAAAGTTTCTAAATTTTAAGTGCACTG